GAACCTATGACATACAACTATCTACTGGGGCTTTGGGGGAAAAAACTGAATAAATAAAATCTTTAAAAAAAAAAAAAAGAAGGTGCTCTTTGGAGTACAGAACCAAACTAATACTCAGCAGTGGAGACACTGAGATGCTGTGAATTTTGATGCATTTAGATCAACATAGTATAGTTTCCAAAATATTCCATACTTGCTGCCATCATTCTTTCTTTCCTTAATCTTTTCGATAGTTCTTAGGGAGCAATATATGGTGAACACTAGCCATGCACGGGCCTGCTGAGACTTGTCAGATCTGATTGGCTCAGAGGGAAATGAATGGTGCTCTCCCTTCCCAGCATATTTCTGCCAGAGGGGACTGAGAGCAGAAACTTTGGGCACCTCTGTGCCCCTGAGCAGACATGTAGTGGGCTGCATGGTAATTACTCTGGAGCACAAGAGGCCTGGAGGCCGTCCTTCCTCTCTCATCAGTGTTCACGTTCCCCTTTTCTCTCACTCATGTGTCAGCTCAATGGTTAGGGTACTCTGTGATACTGAGAGTGGTGCACTGGTGTGTATACGGGGGGTGGGGGGGTGTCACTGGTTAAAAGGCTTGTTCCCCGAGCTAAGAAAAGGGTTGGGGGAGGCCTCCAGAGAATAGCCAGATCTTAGAAGGGTCAGGAGGGTAGCCCCAAAGATATGCCATGCAAGGATTCTAGGAAAGTGAGGTCAACCCTCTCCCACATGAGTCGGCTGATCAATCTCATGTGTGCTATGAAAGTATTCAGTTCAGACCTAACTGCTTACAAAGACATTGCTCTCTTCCCTTACACCTTAATTCCATATGTGAGGTCACAATTCTATCCAGAGATGGTGAGTAGCAAGAGCAATTCTACGACAGACAATGGTTTACAGATTTATGTTGATTCTTCTGCTATACCTGGATGGTCGCTGCTGGCGTAGGTCAGCAAAAAACCCCGCCCCGAAATGTGGGATCCACTCTCAAAGCGAACAGTTACTTCACTTGTGTTCAGCAAGAGTTCTTTGGGGACAGTCATACTTCCACAATAGGGACCTAAAAACAAAGCATACTTGTGGCACATGTCAAAATTTTGACCAGCACAAAGAATCGGTATATGGCATTATTTTCCTTAAAGGTCAAATTTACCAGACAACACATACGTAAGATTCTAATCTTTACCCACCTGAAATTTTGCTTAATACTGAGACTGATACTTAGTAACTGATTGTGAACTTAATTATACAGAAAAGCCAAGGGGGGAAGTGGCTAACTCTAGATAAGCAATGGGCTCGAACTAGTTAAGTGTGAACAACCCAAGAGATAGGTTTTGGTTTTTGTAAAAAGACAACTAACAAACAAAGGTCAAATACATTAGACAGTAAAGAAAATGTTATCACAAAAGTGATATTCTAAGAGCCTCCTAAATTTGCTTTAAGTATGGTCTAAGTATTTGTGTCCCCCTAAAATTTGTATGTAGAAATCCTAATGCCCAATGTGATGGTATTAGTAGGTGGGGCCTTTGGGAGGTGATTAGATCATGACGGTGGAGCCCTCATGAATGGGACTAGTGCCCTTATAAAGGAAAGCCCAGAGAGCTTGCTTGCACCTTCGACCAGGTGAAGACACAGTGAGAAGGCTATGAACCAGGAAGTGGGCTCTCACCAAAGGCTACATGGAATCTGCCAGCGCCATGATGTTGGAATTCCTAGACTCCAGACTGTGAGAAATAAATGTCTATTGTTTATAAGCTATCCGGTCCGTGGTATTTTGTTATAACAGCCTGAATAGACTAAGACAGGTAGTAAAGAAAGTGTTATCACAAAAGTGATATTCTAGGGGCCTCCTTAATTTGCTCAAAGAAACTCAAAAATTCCATTTTTTCAAAGAGGTTCCAGAATTAAAAGACTGTCCAAGGCATGGTAAAAATCTTATTCCCATGCAGTTTACCTATTTTTCTCTCTCTCTTACAGTAACTTCTGGTTAACCCATATAATTTATTTTGACTTGTAAAATGAGGTTTATAAAAAAGCAAAACAATTTCTAAAGGCTTTTAGAATACCATAGTATAAATTATGCTATTAAGGGTATAACATATTGTTTCTAGAATAAGTTGCTTGAAAAGCAATAGGAAGCTCAATGAACTTTCAAAGCACAAAATTAGATTTGGAGCTAAAAAAAAAAGGCCGTTCTAAGATTACTCAAATTAAAGTTTAGTTTATAAATTGTCATCCTCAAAGTCACGTACTTGAGACATGATAATTTCTACGAAAATAGGGATTAGCAAGCAAATTTTGAAAAGAGGTATTCTTCATCAACTTCTCTTAAAATAAAACAATATGGAAAGAGTCAACAGCATCAACAATGACATCAGGTTAAGGAAGGAGGAGGAAGGGAAGAAAAAGACCACTCCAACTCAATGTTCATAGAACTAGGCTACATTAGCCAAAACCAACATAGACACCAAACTGCTGAAAGATTCAGGAGAAGATCATGAACCCATCTAAGGATTCCTTTCCTGACATAAGGGATCGGATTTCCCTTTTGTCCTGTCCAGGTCTCACATTTTGAATATGTAATAGAATAAAAGAGAAATGCTGTGGGTCTACCTTCATGCCTCAAATCTCTGTTGTTCCCTATTATTAAGTTATAGTGAAATCCAAATAAAAAAGATCACTCTTTGGAAACACTGATCATATATAATTACTTACATCAGTTAATACTTGCAAATTACTTAGAATAGTAGCTAGCATATAATGAGTTATATAACTACTTGTTAAATAAATAAATGAATACATTAAAAAACAAACAAATAAACAATGTCTGTTTTCCTTTTGGACTATGTTCCACGGGGTCAGGAACTTTTCTACCCATCTCTTTATCTCCAGCAGCTTGTACAATACCCGGCACGTGGCGGCCTTCCAAATATTGTTTGAATTGAAATGAAGTTAAATGTTCTTCTTTTGTAAAAGTCAGTTTTTAAAAGCCAGACCTGATCATAAAGATACATAAAATATTTAATCCTGTCATTTAAAAATATCATGAAGTCAGGAAGAGAAGTATGGATAAACAAGAAAGGAAAGAAAAGAACTGGTGTAACGGATATATGGATTTTTACGAACTTGAATAGTGCTCCACAAGCACGGTTTAGGCAATTTATACTAAATTCATTTTTGTATACTAAAGTAGAATGAGAAGCATTTTTTCAAAATTAAAGTGAGTCAGATTACTGTGCTTGACTTTCGAAACTTATTCTCAGTTTTCTTTATGTATGTTTGAAATTCCTTTGTTCTTTGCACAGACAAGAAGTGAAGATACTTGCTTTGCAAATCTAAGAATAAAAATGAAATAACTAGTACCTTGTTGCTATTAATAAATTAGAATATTTTTCTACCTACATTTATCTTTTTTGAGTGGAAATAATGACATATATACTCCTCTCCAAATGATGATGGTAATACTAATCTCTCTTTAAATTTCTACAGCATTCCAACGAGTTCTAATAAAAACGGTTGAAGTAAGTCAGTCTAAATTGATTATCAGTGAGAACTTGTTTGCAATTTTTTTTTTAAGATTTTAGGGAACAGTTGAAAGGAAAGGTTGCAAAATTGTATATTTTTTACACAAATAGATAAGAGTGCATACCATCACACTAAGTTCTTGTGCAATACATATGATCTCCTAGACCCAAAACACATAAATATAGTAAAACTCTAATTTGGTTGCATCCTCCGAACGTCATGATAGGTATGTCAATTTCCGGAAAAATTTCAAAGAAAGAAAATGTAAACACACACTCCTTTAATCCCCCTTACCCCACAGGTACCAATCTCTCTCATATCCTTATTGATGTGCTTTAGAAATGTAACTAAACCCTAAAGGGGATAGAATATACCATCTCTGTATAAATGCCATCATTAAAACTTATTTTGATAGGTTCATCACGGGGCAACCATCACAAGAGCAGGAGGGAGTTTCTGTCCAGGGTGGGGGATGGAAGTAGGGGACTGACTGCTGTCTTGCCTGGGGCCAAACATCCAAATTACAACCTGTCTGAAGGTCTGACAGATAAAGATGCCTTTTCACAGACTTCAAGTTAATAACTGCATTCCTAGAGTTAAAAGGGAAAATAGACGAAAATAAAAAAATGTGACTGGCAGTGAGATGGAAAAATAATTAATGGGAAACCACTGAAGGATCCTACAAGTCTGTGTGTCCAAAGCAATGTTCTCAGTTTACAACCAGACTCCCTTGAAAATGATATTGTTTGTTAAGAAAGCCTTTCTCCAACCACGTCTACCCAAATGATAAATTTCACTGTTAGTACTCTCCATCCTGACTTTTAAAATGGGTCCACACTGGTATTTAAACATTCACAAAGACAATTTCATTGGAAACCCAGATGAGAGCTTGCTGACTTCTAACTTGACCACGGTTATATTCTCCATCCTGGGCAGTGTCCTGGATTGGTAAACCTGCCTCAATTCACAGTCAGATTGGACCCCCAACTCTTCTTGAGTGGGTCTGAAGAACTTGAGCAGACCTAAAAAGAGGACTCACAGTTCTGCATGGACATGAAGCCAGGTACCTGAGGGTTACTGTAGACATTCAGTAAGTTTTCTGGTTTAACCTGAGGGGTGACTCAGGGGTTGAGAGGGTTTGTGAGCTTATTCTGCAGAAGAAGAGAATGCCTTCGGGGCCGTTGCAGTCACCAGATGACCAGCCCTGAGCTGCTGTTCAACTTCCCCTTAGCTCTATAAAACACCCTGCTTTCTTCTTTTGTTAAGGCAGATTTGAGAGAATCCATCCTCCCACCTTCTCATTTTGGCCAATTCAAATAAAACCTTTCTCCATCACCAAGCACTAATGGCTCAGTGACTGGTTTACTGCACATCAGGCGCAGAAACTTGTGATTAAGAGGTTCAGTATCAGATGTGTGCTTCACAAGTGGCAGCACTGTGTGTTTTACAGCACTTCGACTTGCCATCTAACTCCCACCTTCCCTCACCTCTATCCTCATCTGCGAGGCAGGTCCCATCTTACTTTGCAGTCCGAAATTCCCATCAGACTGAGGCACAGCAGAAAGGCTGTTCATCAAGTAGGCAGAAAAACCAGGAAAAATAAATACTTCTACCTTCTGTGGAATGTAACTGGTAGCCCTGGATTGTGGGAAAGGCTATCAGTGATATTAAATGGAATGGCATTGTGGCATTTGGCACCAGACATGAGACCAAGCCTGAGGAGACAATGGACTGATTCCTTGGACCATCAGGAACCGTAGGAGCTGCCTTCTTTGAGCACAGTAGGCCAGTCCCTCTCAACACATCCCCTGTTTGGGGTTACAGTTCCATGAGCAGCTGAGAGGGGAAACCCTTTATCTTTCTATGTGTGAATGAAAGAAAACTGTCCTCCAAGGAAGAATGAATTGTCTGCCCGGAGCCAAGCCCGGAATCCTCTTAATTCTCTGGCAGTCTGACAATTCATGCAGCAATTTATAGTCCTGCTCCGTTCTCCATGGACTGTCTGCCTAAGTCTCTGGGCAACGACAGAGAGGCAATGATAGTTTGGTTAATAACTGTTCCAAGTCATTTCAGGTGGCTCTATGCTTTTGATCTTGAAAGTGATGAAACTAAGTTATTGTTTCATCTGTGAAAGGGCCGTGTTTAGAAAATGATATGCATGCTGTTAAAAACACAAAGAAACCCCTTCCTCTCCACAGCCACACTCTCAGTGGTGAAAAACACAGAGACCAAATAAAAATCTAACTCTGGAGAGATTTGTCATAAATCAAATTGAACAACAACAAAAATCTCCTAAAAACCTTCATTAACCTTATGAGCACCTTCATACACATTTCATTTCGCATGACAGATAACAAAATGCCGGTCAGCCTAAGTGACCCTCCCTGGGAACGCCACTGGCAGAACCAGCCACACAGCACATAACCAGCTGCCAAGAAAGTGGTACCCAGCGTGGCTCACATCTGTGTTCAGAGAAACGCTGATGAAACAGTCTCCAGAAATGCTGAAGCTGCAAAGGCCATTTGCCTTGTGTCC